CCCCAAAACCCCAAAACCCCAAAACCCCAAAACCCCAAAACCCCATTTGGAACAAAATTTATTGACAGTTGATGATATTTACCAGAATTAGAACTTGAAATCATGCGACAGCCAATCCTCCTTCTTTGCTGACCGAAATTTATGCAAGATAGGAGGATCAGAAGGCGTCATTGTGACATAATTTTTGATAAAATTATCTGATTTTGTGGCTTTACTGAAGTAACTCCTAAAAGTCTCAGGAGATATCCAGCCTTTCTTGCTTTGTAAATATTCCTTTCTTTTCAAGTCCTCTTCTGTAATATAGGGGCTGTCATTTCCAATAATAGGAGTTTCAAAATCTGAAGGAGGAAGTTTCTTGAACTCAACAAACCTCGAGTAAAATTTGGACGGAACTTTCAGCTTCTTCTTCGAACTAAAAAGCGTACTCATCTTGATATGACTATTTCTATCCTTAGTAGGTAACTGGTCGTCCCTTAAAGTTGGATGCAGAAGCTTTCGGATATCTCTTGTAGAGTTAGTTTTCTCAGGATTAATGTCTTTCAACATGTTCAACTTGTGATATATCTTCATATCAAAAGGAGATAATTGTATTCCTTTCTTCTTCTCACCTTCTAGCTCCTCTTTGACATAATTTCTCATTGTTCTGGTCAGTCTCCCTGAATTTACTGTGTTATTTAGCCTTAGTCTTTTTAAGAAACTGGTCGAATCTTTGAATAACTATCTTATTTTTCCTTACTCAAATTTCTGTACTGGTCTGGCGTTAAGACATTATTTGAGAGACATTCAGACTTTATATTTAACTCATTAGCAGAGCAAGCAAACATCCCTCTCATGGTACCCCTGAGATTAGGATCAGAAGGACTCTCCAACCGGACCTGCCTACTTTGCAATCTTGAACGGTTGGAAGCAGTCATTATTCTTTCTTTTATCTGTCTGGTAGAACTCCTTGTGGTTCCTGCTCCAGGACGAGAAGAATAAAAGGTTCCAGCAGTAGTCGGCCTTATTCCTTCTTTACGTACCGAGTTTGTTGCATTTGCCTTAAATTGATTAACCTCATTCTGGTTCATCTTATGCCTATTCCTGGGATTTAGCCTGGCAGATTTCGAGGTATGAGGGCCTTTAGTGTACATTAAGGTTTTCATCACTCCTTCAGCCTCCTCAATTGCCATATGTATTTGTCCTTTTTCTTGGATCATTAAAATATTTCTCTCAATGAAATTTTCAAGAATTTTCATGGTGTACTCATAATTATTTATCTATATGCATTTGCATGGCAACGGAATTCTTATGTTGTCATATTTCTGGGCCCTTCTCAGATTCTGCTAGAGTATTATAATTCACCTCAAAAGCAGATGTTGATGCTAACGAAACTTCATGAACATTCCACAAGCTTTCATGAGAGATCAAGAATTCTTTAGGGATGCCATCCATTAACCAATGGTTCAAGAAATCTTTCTTAACCACGCACTTCCTTTCTGTCACTTTCGAAGTGATAACCTGGCTGGATGAATTACTGTTCATAAATCTCGAATTCTGCAGTTGACTTCTCTTCATCAACTTGTCACGAATTTTTCCTTTCTCAGTTGCTTTCGAATAATGGATTCCAACATTTCCAATCGGGAGCCAAATGGATTGATCCTTTTTAAAGCTATAGTAGTCACCAGTAGCATTATCCAAGAATACATCATTAACTTCATAACTAGATAGATCCTTCGTGTTTAAATAATGGATCTCTTGTAGACTGCCTCCTTTCCCAGCGCCGTTGATCACAGATAAACTTGCAAAGTTTGTTGCTCAATAATACACAAGGAAATTGAGCCCAAAACCAGCTACAAATCATCATTTATCAGTTAATTTTCACATTTTGAACAAGAGGAGGAACTTCTTGGCCCTCTTAGTCCAAGGAAGCAGGTTACTTTCTCCATCAATAAACACGAAATCAATAGAATCAAACCTATTTCTTAGAGTCTTTATCTCCATAAGAGAACGATTCATACAAAAAGTCATCAAGATTACTCAAATCTCGGAGGATAAAGTCAATTCGGCTAGCCAAAGTGTGCTTGAACCCATTCTTGATCTTGGAGACAAACTCCTTGAACTTCTTGTCACCTATAAGGTTGGACTTGTACCCATTCACGATAAGGATTTTCATAGCAAATTAAAATAATTTCTATTTTTATTTTAGCTAAAGGGGTTTTGGGGTTTTGGGGTTTTGGGG